CGATGGCCAAATGTGGGCGAGTTCCGCTAATCTTTCGGCCCCCGTGTGTGCCATGGATCTATTATAATAACTGGATAGGGTATTACTAGCTTGTAGCTGAATAACTCATGTGCTCGGGGGATTCTTGCGGTGCTGCAGACTGAACCAGACTAAATTCACGTGGGCTACCCAGAAATTTTCCCCATAGAACTCAATGTACATTAAAACAGCGCGACCTCAGCTGACAGAGAACCTACAGCTTTCATAAAGGTCAGATTTTGTGGGGATTTTAGTGTCCCATGTCATCCTAAACTTTTCCATCCATCCATCCATCCATTTTCCTCCGCTTTATCCGTTGCCGGGTCGCGGGGGCAGCAGTCTAAGCAGAGACGCCCAGACTTCCCTATCCACACACCTCCTCCAGCTCGTCCGGGGGGACCCCTAGGCGTTCCCAGGCCAGCTGAGAGACATAGTCTCTCCAGCGTGTCCTGGGTCTTCCCCGGGGCCTCCTCCCGGTGGGACGTGCCCGGAACACCTCCCCAGGAAGGCGTCCAGGAGGCATCCTGAACAGATGCCCGAGCCACCTCAACTGGTTCCTCTCGACGTGGAGAAGCAGCGGCTCTACTCCGAGCTCCTCCCGTGTGACCGAGCTCCTCACCCTATCTCTAAGGGAGCACCCAGCCACTCTGCGGAGGAAGCTCATTTCGACCGCTTGTATCCGCGATCTCGTTCTTTCGGTCATTACCCACAGCTCATGACCATAGGTGAGGGAGGGAACGAAGATTGACCGGTAAATTGAGAGCTTTGCTTTTCGGCTCAGCTCCCTCTTTACCACAACGGTCCGATACAGAGACCGCATCACTGCGCACGCTGCACCGATCCAATCTCACGCTCAATCCTCCCCTCACTCGTGAACAAGACCCCGAGATACTTGAACTCCTCCACTTGAGGAAGGACCTCTCCACCCACCTGGAGAGGGCAAGGCACCTTTTTCCGGTCGAAATCCTAAACTTTTTTTCTTCTTAAATCCTTCGGTTTTCTTTAAATCCACACTTTACTGCCACAAACTCTGCTAGTCTGGCTCCCGCTCTAAAGCCTAGTTTATACTTGCCTAGCTTATACTTTGACTTGGCCATTCTAACACCTGGATACGTCTATTTGTGAACCATTCCATTGTAGATTTGGCTTTATGTTTTGGATCATTGTCCTGTTGGAAGATAAATCTCCGTCCCAGTCTCAGGTCTTTTGCAGACTCCAACAGGTTTTCTTCCAGAATGGTCCTGTATTTGGCTCCATCCATCTTCCCATCAATTTTAGCCATCTTCCCTGTCCCTGCTGAAGAAAAGCAGGCCCAAAGCATGATGCTGCCACCACCATGTTTGACAGTGGGGATGGTGTGTTCAGGGTGATGAGCTGTGTTGCTTTTACGCCAAACATATCGTTTTGCATTGTGGCCAAAAAGTTCAATTTTGGTTTCATCTGACCAGAGCACCTTCTTCCACATGTTTGGTGTGTCTCCCAGGTGGCTTGTGGCAAACTTTAAACCAGACTTTTTATGGATATCTTTGAGAAATGGCTTTCTTCTTGCCACTCTTCCATAAAGGCCAGATTTGTGCAGTGCACGACTGATTGTTGTCCTATGGACAGACTCTCCCACCTCAGCTGTAGTTATCTGCAGTTCATCCAGAGTGATCATGGGCCTCTTGGCTGCATCTCTGATCAGTCTTCTCCTTGTTTGAGATGAAAGTTTGGAGGGACGGCCGGGTCTTGGTAGATTTGCAGTGGTCTGATACTCCTTCCATTTCAATATAATTGCTTGCACAGTGCTCCTTGAGATGTTTAAAGCTTGGGAAATCTTTTTGTATCCAAATCCGGCTTTAAACTTCTCCACAACAGTATCTCGGACCTGCCTGGTGTGTTCCTTTGTCTTCATGGTTCTCTCTGTGCTTTAAACAGAACCCTGAGACTATCAAAGAGCAGGTGCATTTATACGGAGACTTGATTACACACAGGTGCATTCTATTTATCATCATCAGTCATTTAGGACAACATTGGATCATTCAAAGATCCTCACTGAACTTCTGGACTGAGTTTGCTGCACTGAAAGTAAAGGGGCCGAATAATATTGCACGCCCCACTTTTCAGTTTTTTATTTGTTAAAAAAAATTAAATTATCCAATGAATGTTGTTCCACTTCACGATTGTGTCCCACTTGTTGTTGATTCATGACAAAAAAAATGAATTTTATATCTTTATGTTTGAAGCCTGAAATGTGGCAAAATGTTGAAAGGTTCAAGGGGGCCGAATACTTTCGTAAGGCACTGTACCGGGAGACTGTGGACTGTCTAACATATATATAACTTATACACTGTGCAGTCGTTTGTTTTGCACTGTTTGTAGCTTATCGCGTCTGTTCCATTCCTCCTGCACTTATAAATTGTTGATGTTTGCCTCAGATATTTACCATTTATTGTTTTGCTGTTTGTGCTGAATACAATTTAATGATAACTATGCTTCCAACAAGAACTGTGTCTTTATTCACAACATCACAGTTAAATTAGTTAAGAAATAATGAGTCCATAGAACTATCACATAAACCTACAGTAGAAACACATGTAATGATCTCAAACAGCTGGGTTTGTTCATGTTTTTGTTCTGAAGAGGAGAAAGTAGCAGCGTAAATGAGACCGCTTTGGTATCTCAAGCAACTCCTGTGAGATCGCCATCATCTGGTTGGTTGTGGGATTACAACATTCTCCTCAAAACTCTGTAAGGAGTATACATTAAATTGTGCTTGCGTAGGTCCACCGCAACCGCTAACGTAAGCAGTGCCGCGCAAGTATATACACTAGGCTTAACTCCGCTCTGATGAACTGCTCTGATTGGTCAGACCGCGGCCGAGCCCCTCTGTGCACGTGCGTGAGACCCCATGTGAGACCCACACAAGCGTATTTGGCGCAACGCATCATGGGAGATAGCGCAAAGCATCATGGGAGATAATCCACTGCGCAGAACCGGGAGGACCAGACGATGTCCAAATACAGGCGAGTTTCCCATGGATCTTTGTGAGTTAAATACTTTTGCCCAGTTTTGTTTCGAGTTGATTTTAAAATTTTACTCTTTGTTTTTAAAGTCCTCATCTCAACTCCTCCTAGGACTAGGTCCAAACACTGGGGTGACCGGTCCGTCTCAGTCGCTAGACCCAGACTCTGGAACAAGCTGCTCCCTGACATGCGTGTCCTTACTGGCCTTTTTAAATCACAGCTCAAAACGTATTTATTCAGACTGGCTTTTAACACTTTTATTACTCATTAGCACAACTGTTTTATTGTTTGAATACATAATTGTTTTGATGGATTTTGTGTAATTTTATTGTAAAGCACTTTGGTCGCCTTGAGTGTTGTAAAGGGCTCTAAAAATAAAATTGATTGATTGATTGAAATTAACTTAGATTTGGAAATGTTGGATCTATCCATTAAATATTTGAATCTGTTTTTTTCACTGCCATGGAAACACTTTCTAAAAATGTTTTTCATGAACAATTCCTCAAATCAGTAAAGGAGGGAAATCACTTGGACAAACTGTGGCAGCGGTGTGACCGACGCCGGTATGTAATCACAGGAAGGAGGCTGTGGAAAATGTAAAAAGTTCATCTTGTCTTCTTATGATTAATGCAATTTTTTTTTTAAAGAACCTAGCACTGCTTAATTACCTGATAGGTTTTTCCGGTAAACCTCTTTGTCGGAGGTTATACGGGATGTGGTAACGTGTCTCTTGCCTTCTTAGCAAGAAGTCTGTGGGTTCTTTCCTGTGTCAACCTTTTGGTGTGGAGTTTGTTTGTTTCTCCACATGTGTGGGAAGTTTCCTCTGGCCAATCCAGTTTCCCCCATCAACCAAAACATGCACCGTAAAAGTCTACTACTGTGGTCGTCCTGACCAAGCCAAGCCCCAGTGGCACTGCAGTATCGGTCAAAAGGATACCAAATTATTTTGTATACATGCGATGATGGCTTACATGACACCTGCTGAGAATTTCTGCCTCTTTGACTTGCATCAGCACACAAATATGGGCATGATTGTGTTAATGCTGATAGTTTCAGCAGATCTGTCTGAGGGCAGGATGAATACAAACATACACACAATAACGTTTACCTTGTAGTCGGGTTGTTATTTATTATCATTTTATTTGTAGTACTTAAGATAAGATTATCCACCCACGCAACTACAGCAGACATCAGCAGAAGTCGGTGGAAAAGGTTTTGTGGTGGGCTTGAACCTTTATTTGTCCCACAGTGGGGATATTTTGATTGATTGGTTTTTTCTTGTTTTTGTGAAGTCCTTATAGTTGCCCCATGTATGAATTCTGCAATTCAAATAGTATGACCATAAATATGGCACCTCACCTTCAATCACATCAACCCATGTTACAGTTGATTATAAAAGTAGAATGTACTTTCCAACTTTTTATTATTCTGTTATTAAATCACAAAATCAATTTGTGATTAGCTTAAAACAATATGACACATGCATACAATAGGTAAAGTACATTGAAAGCAGAAACAAAACAGATCCTCAAGTTGCATGGACTATGTGGCTAAAATAGAAATAACATTTTCACAGCACACTGTCCCATTTAAGTTATAAGACGCCACAACATTCATAAAAACAGGGATCTCTAAATGGATCTCTCTGAGATCACTCAAAAATGTTTAGAGAGTCAGGCCAGTTACAAAAAGCACAGCCTGCTCTTTCTAACTTAAAATGTTTATCAAGCAAATGAGTAAATTTAGTGGCAAATTGTAAAGGAATTCCCAAACTTGTCCACCCTCCAGATCCAGAGTGTTTTTAACCTAACCGTCTTCATTGTGTTCATATTTATCCATATATCCTCTGTATAAGCTCTGTATTTCCCCTTTTTTCTAAAACATGAAATGCCAAAACTAATTTTCAAGATCATGACAAAGTTACTACTAGAACACAACTCCATGAATACAATTGGATAAGTGACTGCTTATACCCACCTCTGTATGCAAGCGCAGATTGTGGGCAGAACGGCACAATAATGTAATTGTAGTGGCAGTGTTGCGCTAGGAGCTCCGTGCCTGGTGTCTGGGTTGTATCTTTGTCTGGGGAATTGGCTTGTCCACTCTCCAGAACCAGAGGCTGTCTGGTGCGCGCACAGAACACTTGCCAGGCTTACACTGTGAGGACGTGGGCTGTAATGATGCAGAGTCTGAAGATGGAACGTGGAGACCTGGGTCGAGACCTGGACCTGACATCTCTGAGGTCCACCATGCCAGCTGGAGGTGTTCTGCAGGTACTGGGACTGTACTGGGATAGACACCTGGGGGTATGAGGGAGCTGTGGTTACGGTCAATTCAATTCAATTTATTTTTGTGTAGCTTTAAATCACAACAGTAGTTGTGAGTTGTGACTGTAACTTTTTATTTTGTCTCAAACAATTTTGTCTGTGTTGAATGAGGGGGGATGGGAGTGTATAGGTGCCTGCTCATAAACCATAAAACTAATGCACCTGTCAACTCCAGCCAGCCCAACATGCTCAGCTCTCTGGTCGGGCATCTTCCTGGATGGTTGTCCCCCGTTTGACAGAGGACTGTGGTATGTTCTGTTCGGGTGGGAGCTGTGGGCAGTGGCAGGCAGCTCTGGGTCCTTTGTCTGCTCTGCTCCTCTTCTGGGACCACCACTCTGCTCACAACACCTAGCAAAGAGCAATTAGTGTGCAGGTGCCAAGGCTAATAATGTCCCCAACGTACACTCAGGTCTAGTCAGCAGTCAGACGCCAATTCTGGGAACACACAAGTCAGGCGGAGGTTAGATTCATCCATTTAACATTTGAGGAAATGTTGATTTAAGTTAATCCACAAAACTCCTCCACATGTTGGCAACCGTTTTGGTGGCAGTAAACCCTGCCAGGAAACGATTTAGATCTGAGAGAAGGCAAGGCAAGTTTATTCTTGAAATTGAATTTGAACATTTTCAGGAGTGGGGTATTGTCTCACATTCTATCTGGAAGATTTTAGCTGCTTAAAATTGAAATGCTGCATCCCCATGTTTAGTCTTGACTCTGGGCACCAGCAGCAGGCCAGTCTCTATGTTCCACAAAGTTCAAGTTGAATCATATGCAACAAACATTTTGCGTTATGTACTTTGGTGCGGCGCTATGTGTGTCTACTTGTACACAAGAAGAGCTGTTTTAAAGTCTCTTCTCTGAGTGACAAGACGCCAGTGCCAGAACTGGACTTATGAGATAGTACTTCCTTGTTCTATTCTATTGTCAAGCAGCAGCATTTTAAATGTACTGCAGCTGTATTAGAGCTTGTTTGGAGAGACCAGTGAGCATGTGTTACAGTAGTCTAACCTACTGTATACTGTATACTATAAAAGCATGGATTAGAGTCCACTGGTAGATTTGGAATGTCTGATCTCCATCTCAACTCTCAAAGCGGTGGTTCATAGTTTTAACTAGGGGTGTGACGATATATCGATATATCGCAATACTTTCTCCCGCGATTCGATTATCAATATGCATTTGCCAAGTATCGATATCGATTTAAAAAAAAAAAAAAATGTTTTTCAAAATTGGTATCAATACTTAATATATGACTACATTACGCATCTCCATTCCATTTATCATGAAATAAAGTATATTTTTTTATTTTATATATGCCATAAATTGGCATATTGTTTATTTCTGACCAATATATCGATAATCGTCATATCGTGATATCGTTATCGTGGGCTTTGTATAGTGTATCGTATCGTATCGTGAGGTACCCTTAGATTCCCACCCCTAGTTTTAACAGCGTTTCCCTTTCCGTTTTAAATCAAATGAAGACAATTGCTGTAAAATAAATTTAACGCAGTGGTCCTGATATGTATGAAGGCCAGTGTCTTCAAACATGTGTCCAAGAGAATATGCCTCTCTCATACTGATGTTTACACTGAGCTAGTCTAACAGGGCAAATATTGTTTAGAATGCCATGTGACAGAATTGGACCGTAGAGTTTTATCCATTTGTACGGGCTAGTGAGTTTCAAAATATTATTAGAATTTTTCATTATTCTAATCAAACTTGTCTCCGACACCATGCACCTGTAATTAGAAGCCCCCTTGAGTGAGAGAAGGCCGTGTTCCTTTGCACATATCACCTTCCCATATATTTAGCTTTCCAAGTCCCCCGTGAACAAAGTGGACGTGTCTATGAAAAGAATACGAGCAGGCGGACACGTTGATAATGTCATATCAGCTCCAGAGCCTCCAGTGTTGGTAAACAGCGGCTGCACTGCTCGATTCAGAAACATTTAGCCTCCAAAAATAGCAAACTTGGAAAAATCTGTTTCCCTTCTGGCTCAATCTAGCCTCCATGAGTTAGAACAACATTTTCACTACCATTTTTTATTTCTGCACTGAATTTTGTTATTTGGCCTGCCACAGTAGGGCTGGGCAATAAATCAAATTTAGGCGATTAATTGGCTTTTGAAAAAATCGAATTTGTGAAAAATGTGAAAATTGTGAAATCGAATGTGAGATTGTGAGAGTTCCAGCAGAATTATACTTGCAATATCAGCACAGTCTGTACAAGACTTTTATACTACGTATTGGGGGAAACAAATTCAAAATAGTTTTTAAACTTGAAAATTGAGCGGAAAGATCAAAAAATATATTTAAGGGCAAAGTCTGTCTTCGGTGACTTTAATGAAAATTGAATTAAAATCGTCCAAAGCAGGAAATGAAATCGAGATTTCACTTTTTTGCCATATGGCCCAGCCCTACGCCACAGTGATAAGAAAATACACCAAAATGATAGTTTTTCAAGATAGAATTTGGCTCCTTTGCAGGCTAGCGGACAGTATGTTGGCAGTATGACAGTTTTTTTTAAGTAAATGAGTGACAAGAGTTAAGTCGACTGTACGTTGTGTAAGGCAAAACTGTCACAAGGTGTGTCCAAAACAAATACGAATAACACCAGCGAAACTCGCCACCGTGCGGATCACCTTTACACAAAAACAACCGACTCTCCAACATAGCATTTGTATGAGTGGAATATGATGGTGGCTCTAATTATTGACTGTTAAAACAATTGCTAAATAAAAACAATTCCCAGTGATAACACAAAGCAGTACTCGCATTGGTATTTGGTATCGGCAAGTACTCAAATTAAGGTAATGGTTCTCGAAACAGTTTTGAAAAACGTGGTATCGGTGCATCCCTACAGTATATGATTTGCATTATTATGTGACCATTATCTTGGGACACATATAACAGATAGTAGCTCAGTTGGTAGAGCATTGGCCTTAAGGCCAGAAGGTCGTGGGTTCAATTCCCACCTCTGCACCTTCTCCACCGACTCCCACTGATGACTGCTGTCGTTGTGTCCTTGGGCAAGACACTTAACCCCACTTTGCCCAAAAAGCCCCCGCTGAAAGATCAAGGCTATGCTCACACTAAGAGAGCAGCCGTCCTCCTGTGGACTCACCACCTGCAGAGGGTCAGTGAGGGGCTGGTGCTATGAGACTTGGGTGGCATCTCTGATTGCCACCCCCCTGACCCAGAAATGGATTAAAGGGTAGAAAATGGATGGATGGACATATAACAGATACTGTCCCCACACTATGATGTTTGTATTTAGTTTGTCACATGTTCTTGTGAACAATGTCTATTCAAATGTTGTTCATACCTTCATTGGATCCCCCAGGATACGTTTTGTCACCTCTCCTTTATATTATGTATACAGATGATTTTCGTTCAACTCAGCCCAGTAGTTTCTTGGTTAAATTTGCTGACGACACTGTCCTGCTGTCGCTGATGCTCAGTCTGAGAGTCATGGTTCACTTTAGATTTAGAACTTAATATCAATAACACCCAGGAGATTATCGTAACCTTCTCTTACAACCTGAGAGAGCAAACATCATCTCCAGGGAATACCAGTGGAGATGGTCCAAGATATCTTGGAACCATCTTTGACCACCTGCTGAAATTCTCCACAAACACAGAGGAGCTGCTGAAGAAATGTCATCAGAGGCAGCATCTCCTGAGGAAATGTAGATCATTTGGTGTCAGCAAAAACATAAGGATGACCATCTTATCCTGCATTTAATGAAAGTTTTCTGGGCGTTTTATCTATCTGACAGTGGCTCAGTTGCCAGAGCATTAGGTTGTGAGCTTGAAGGTTGTGGGTTAAAGCCTATCGCAAGACCTCCACAAGACACTTAACCCACTTTGCCTATAAGGGCCCCGGAAGTAGTGTTCGCTGCATGCCTTGATGTGTATATGTTTATTAATCAAACAGCAGTTTCCCCACTGAAGGACAAATGCAGCCTCGCGGAAATTCAATTTGGAAGACGTCAGCGAAGCCACCCCTTCCAGGCCGGCCTCGCATCCCCAGCCTATCGCACAGCAAACGCCCATTTCCAATCAACCTACGCCGGCCAGGCCAGCCGCTTAAAAGCGGAAAAACTCCCACTTTACGGCCTTCTCGAAGCCTTGCAAAGAGTCGTTCTGGAGGAATCGCTTTTGTCTACTCACGCTTACTCGTGCGTGTCCCTGCTGTCCTCTGTCTTGCTGCGTGTGGTCTGCTCCTCCTCCGCGTCGCTGCACCTGCTGTGGGTCTCGTGCTGTGGTCTCTGGGTCTTTGCCGCTCTCCTCCTTTGCGGGCTCTTTCTGCGGGTTCGCCGCTGCTCGTCTTGTCGCGGCCTGCTGCTGCATACGGCCGGTCTGGACCGGTGCGGTGGGAGCTGTGCGCATCCCTGCCTCCTCGTGCCGGTACGGTGTGGTCCCGCTGTGTTTTCGCTTGTCTTTTGGCGTTGGGGGTAAGTATGCTGACTGCGGACGGTTTATTCCCCTCGCATTGTACTGCAGGCTCGGTTTTGGCCCCGCGCTTTGTACTGCAGGCTCAGTTGGCCCCGCGCATTGGTGTGCAAGCTCTCAGTTTAAAGCCCTCACATTGGTCTGCAGGCTCTCTTTAACTTCTCTTGGACTGCGGCTCTCTCTCTTTGAATCCCTCTCTTGGACTACAAGCTCTGTTTAAATCCCTCTTTGGACTGCGGCTCTAAGTTTAAATCCTTCACTCTGACTGCAAGCTCCGTTTTAATCCCTCACATTGGACTGCAAGCTCTCAATTTTAATCCCTCACTTTGGACTGCAATCTCTCAGTTTAAATCCCTCACATTGAGGCCAATGTGAGGGCTCTCTTTAAATCCCTCTCTTGGACTACAAGCTCTATTTAAATCCCTCTCTTTGGACTGCGGCTCTCTCTTTGAATCCCTCTCTTGGACTGCAAGCTCTGTTTAAATCCCTCTTTGGACTGCGGCTCTCAATTGGAATCCCTCACATTGGACTGCAAGCTCTCAGTTTAATCCCTCACTTAGGACTGCAGGCTCTGTTTGGATCCCTCACACTGGACTGCAAGCTCTCAGTTTTAATCCCTCTCTTTGGACTACAAGATCTCAGTATTAATCCCTCACTTCGGACTGCAGGCTCTGTTTAACTCCTTCACACTGGACTGCAGGCTCTCAGTTAAACCCCTCACTTGGACTGCGGGCTCAGTTTTAATCCCTCACTTGGACTGTAAACTCGGTTTAAATCCCTCACACTGAACTGCAAGCTCTCGGTTTTAATCCCTCACTTGGACTACAAGCTCTCAGTTGTAGATCCCTCATTTAGGACTGCAGGCAATGTTTGAATCCCTCACTTTGGACT